AATAAAAATATTTTAAAAAATATACTTATTTGTTTTTAAAAATGTCCTTATTAGTCATTTAATATTAAATAATAACCGCTAACCATTATATAACCAAACAGTTATATTTATCGAATCCGTTACTTACCATCCGCTACCCACTTTCCGCTATCCACCATCCGCTATCCACTAATTGCCACCCGTTACTCGCTACCGCTATCCACTATCCGTTACCTGCTATCCGCTATCCGCTGAATTTTAACCGTTATACCAAACAGGCTCTAAGTATCAAAATAATTAATCTAAATTTATTTGAACAATAAAAAAGGAAGGAATTTTAATTAAAATAATAAAAAAAACTAACAATTAAAATAAAACTAACCAAGATATGAGGTATTAAGGTATCGATATCACCATAATCAATTAATATAAATTCTAAATTAATATATTTTCAAAACCAATTTGTTGAGTGTTATCGCATGTGATGGTGGATTTTCTTAAATTAACTAACTAATTTTCTCAAGTCAAGTTAATCCTTTATTTGTTTATTAAATTAATTATATCTCTAGACGCTATGTAATTTTAAACAATTAATGAGTATTAAATTCTATGAAAATCTCTAAATTAAGAAGGGGGAGCTCCTAACTCTCTTCTCTTCCTCCACTAAACTAATTACTTCTCGATCTCATAGTCTAACACACGATTTATATTATTATTGGTTTAATTTATGCAATTCTTTCTCAAATTCATGCATAAATTCGTGCATAAGTTCATGCATAAATCACTAAATCAATTGAAAGTTGATCATGCTTCCAATGTATTAAACTCAATAATATAAACTCATCATGTAAATAACTTTAATTGAAAATATAAAAATCACAAAATCTATATTAAATTGATTAGGTTACATTATAACCCTATTAGAATAAATTAATTCATAATAAAAATAATAAAATCTGAAATCACAGTTATTAATAGAAGAATATCTAAAGAAAGACAAAATCTAATTTGAGGTAATTAAAATTCTTGATCTTCCATTGTTGATGAAACTTCTATCTCGATTTTCAATAATTCCCAAAAAAGGGTTACCACCAACCTCCTCTAACTTTGGATCTGTATTTATAGAATTTTAAAAATCTTAATTGGAATAGAAGTGGGATTTGAAACAGAATAGAAATCTTGAATATTGTACGCTAAACGAATGGTGCTGATATCTTGAATAGTTCTAGATGCTTAACGCATGTTGTCGACACCTCGATTATGTGTTGACACTACACCCGTGTCGAGTTTTTGGTCTATTTTTGCAATTTCTTCAATGCTAAAATTGCATATCTGGTCCTCCATCGTTTGTATAATGAGCACTTAGATCCCAAAACTCAATATTCATTCATTTGGGTCCCAAAGAGCGTTCTTCTTCTTGCAATTCAGTCCCTCAACTTTCAAAAAAATGTTCAATTAATTTAAAAAACTCATATTTTTATACATTTAAGTCTTTTTTCACAAAAAATGAAAATTATATAAAATCTCATAAAATTCATTTAAATATTAATAATATCAAAATAAAAATTTCACATTAATGTCCATATGACTTCAGCTTATCAATGTCCTACCTCCTTCCGCTCCATTTTGTCTCCTTTTTGAACCATGAAGAAGAATTAACAATTAAGACACAAGAGATCAAGTATTCACAAAAGTTTCAGCTAAAAATTGCTCCCAACTGATTCCAGCTTTCACCTTCGACCTCTCATAACTGAACGACATCCAATGGCTACAGGCCTAATGCACCAATAGAAGCACCAGGACAACCATAATTATATCAATTGCAACTGTCAATATTAAGTTAAGGGATTTTTAATTTTGTGTTTAAAGATCTAAGATAAGATAAAGATATATTTTATATATTTTTTTATTATTAATATATATAATAAAATTAAAAATTAATATTAATTTTATTAATTAGTTAATAAAAAATATTTATGTGTCAAAATTAATGTTAATTTTTTTATATAAATTAATATATAAAAAATATATTTAAAACTTTTTGCGTCTTAGATAAATTCTTAAGTTAATTATTAGCATCAATCCAACAAATTTCAAAGAGCATTTGATGGCCAATGGCACTCCACGCCACAATTCATTACGGCAGACTCTGCAGTAGTTGCAGGCTCAAAAAAACCTACAACTGGCAGCCGGGTGCAAACTGCAATGATTAATACTATACTCCCAGTAGGCCGTGATTGTTGTTAGATATAAGATATTATTTATTTTGTCAAGATCATTTATATTTATTAAATGGTTTTTAATTTTAATTTTGATTAAAAAAAGTTAAAAGTATATTTATTTTATTTTATTGTTAATATTAATAATACGTAAAATAATTTAATTAAATAATTACATTTGACATTTTAACAAAGAAGTTAATATTGTTTCGTACCGGCCGTATGTACTGGATTTTTCATTGCACCGAAACGGTATGAAGCTTAATTTCGTTTCGGTCAAATTTCGCTCATTTCGGTCAAACCTCGGTATTTCGCCGGGTATTCCGACGTACCGGTAGTGTTGACAACCACTTCAGATTTTTTTGAAAAAGAGAGATCCTCCCTTTCTGGTGGCTGCTGAAGCCCTCTCCTTATCGGTGATGAAGGTGGAGGCAGTGATGATGATGAGACACAAGAAGATGTCAAGGTCAGAGTCCCAAGGGGCTTCCGGCTAGATCTATATTGTCTTCCTGGTGATTGGTGAGATGAGCGTGACGATTAGCTAGCAAGAGGATGGTGAAGATCTGGTGATTATAATTAAAATAGGGGTTTAACCTTAATTTTTCCTTTGTTTATCAGTCTTTCCATGCACTTTTAAGTCAATTTGCGTCAATGACCGG